GAACGTGAGTATCGACACCTGAGTTAAAAAATGGTCAGAGAAACTACCTGCAGAGGAACTTCAGCCCCAGGGCTGGAATTATCACTTTCGACGGGTTTATTGAGCAAAACATTTAGCTCCTCCTCCGTTGGCTCTTCGATAATCACGGGAGGTGGCCTGGGTCTTCTCCCTGCAACCTTTATTCTGATTGTGGGTCGAGTCTCAGGAGAAGGAGCATCTTTCTTCAGTTTTCTCCGTTTAAGAGGAGCTGGGGGAGATTCGTCCTCTTCGTCACTCCCAGATTCGACTGTCAGTGCAGGTCGTTTCTTGGGTGAAGGTGCCTGAAAACCAGTTGGAGTTCGATTTAGAACGCTACATCGAAAATCAGGATATTAAAACCAGAAGGAAATAATAAAAGTTTGGTTACCGGTGCTGAAGATTTTATCGAAGGACCTTCCCCCTGATGGCTTGTTGTAGTTTTCGCCGGTGCTGGAGGTTTTGTCAAGGGACCTCCTCCCTGTTGGCCTTCTGCGGCTTTCTTTGCTGCAGGCTTTCGAACAACTGAAAGAAAACAAGTTATAATTAACAAGTTACCAGTCGAAATGGAAAGACAAAATAATTTGGAGAGTGAACATTCATTTCTTTATTTTGTCAAGGACTAGAACGAAAGACTTCTGAAGTTCGTCCACAAAATCTTTCTCGTCGAAGAACTCTTCAGCATAGTAACTCTTCCACCAGTCTTCGAAGGATGGTGAACAGAGGAAGTTAAGTTGATAATCGAACAGTGAAAGTACTGTTCGACCAGCATACCTGCTAATATGCTTGGTGGCAGCATCTTCAATATAGTCATTGCAAAAATATAACATGGATTTCTCCCTAGGAAAAATAGGAGAAGGAAGTGATTGAATGATACCAAACTGTCGAGAGACCAAGTTTGGTTGATAAGCGATCAAGCTCAAGTGATTCTTGGAGCTCTTAAAGCGCAGTGGCATTATTCTGGGTGTGAGAAATGCTTCCCATATTATTGTGTGTTCTTCGACATGAGGGTCACCTGACGACTTGGGATGGGGCCTGGTGAACCATTATGGACCAACCTTTCGACGAGCGAAAGGAGCCATGGTCGAAGTGAATTTTTTTCTTCTTGCAAACATCAAGACGAAGTTTGCAAAAGTCTGTTGAAGCTCCAGCCCATCTTCAGTCGGGGTCAGTAGAGCTAATCTGGTGCCTTCGATACGCCTATTTGCTATCTCAGGAGCTTGCTCATTTATTTGAGTTTTCTGAGGTAAGAAAGACTCAAAAGTGGCATTGAGCCACAATTGAAGTAGCCAAAAGGGTCCTGCAAGCAATAGACTGGCTCTATTTTCGATGACCTTTAACAGAGTCGCTCCACTGCTGATCGACTCGTACAGATTCGCCAGGATTAATTCTGCCAAACAAATATTTTGGCCATGGTGAAGCTGGGTGGCGAGGGTGACCATCTTCTTTGTCACATGTAAAGACTTCGTGCAGAACACAAAGCGTGACAACCAAAGGGTTAGAAACGCAATGTGCTCCACATCCGTCACATTGGCTATCGATCTATCATGGTAATGGTTGATATAGGTGGTATAGGTGGGTTTCGTAGCTGAGAATCTAATCTGATCCTCCGGCATTTCCTCTGGGTCGAAATAATCCCCAGTGGGTCGAAGGCCGGTGATGGCAGCCATGTCGAAAAGCGTGGGTGTTAGCATTCCACAAGGAAGGTGGAAAGTGAAATGAGTGTAATCCCAGAAAATCAAAGAGGCTATCAGCATCTCAGGGGAGTAGTTGAGACCCGTCTTCGACAGCATGATTAGGTCGTATATCCCCAGGTTCTTCCAGATCGAAGCCTGGATTTTTTCCATCTTCTCTAGCCAAGCGCTGTAGTCAGGTGTGAGGCTAGGGCTAGACCTAAAAGCCCTAACACCCCTATTGAAGAAGCGAAGATCTATCTTCTCCTTAGCGGGATCTTCGTTGTCATCTGCAGCTTTTTTAGAGCACCCAACAGGTTTGAGCGCCTCAAGCACTGGAAAGAAGTTCTTGATCTTCATGGATTCATCAATGCATGTGGATAACGGGCCAGACATGGCGAAGATTTGGTTGGAGTATCCAACCGGAATCATTAGTTGATGTGAATAAGCTTCACGCTCAGCAGTTTCCAGGGGTTCAGGAACCCTTCGCTGGCCTGTAGGGGTAACTGTTGGAACAGTTGAGAAGATTTTGGGTTTAGCATTTTTGGAAGGGATGTTAGAACTAGGAGCGTTAGAGGAACCTGAAGCCATTTTTGAGTTAAGGTTGAAGGTGAGTGAAGAACAAAGTGTTTGCAAGTTTGCAGAGATTTTGTGTTCAGCAATGAGGTTTTGAATGCAGATAGCGTGAAAAAGTCCCACAATGGGTACCTAGCGCTATTTATAGTGGTTGGGAAATCACAAAATTCGAGGCCATTTAATGTTGCAGAAGATAGTGGGACACGTGGCGTCCCCTCGCTGACATAGCCGTTCTGCAGAAACGAAAAGGTGCAGCGTGCGCCCTCGTTTTTGGGAAATTGTCATGATGACAATTTGTGAAAAGACATTGGGCACGCTAAACGCCGTACTGAGGTGACGTCTTAGGTACGGATGGAATGATGGCTTTTTCTTGGGATTGTCAGTGGTTGGTAGAAGACAAAAAGCGCACAGGTTAATTTGTGGCTAAGATTGAAGGACAGGTGTCGAGTGGAATCTCAAAGAATGCCTTTTTCTTTTCAGCGTCGAAATAAGGCATTCTTGGGGGGAAATTTGTTGGCTCCTAAACTCGACACCCTTGTTTTTATTAATATAAACCATTAATCATGAGGGATGGCTTCGACCAGCTGATTCTGTCGAAGTGCCCATCAGAAGATGGCAAGGCTTGGAGAATTTCTTCTAAGTAGGAATCTTGTTGCCTTCGACGTCGAAGGTGCCTCTCGACGAAGGTGTTCGACGCTCAGAGTGGGACAGTTTGAGATTCAAATGTTTGGAGGGAAAACGGTTCCCAGCGGTTACCAAGTGCAACGTGTCAAGATCAAGAGCGTCGAAGGCTGTGAGCGTGCCAAGTGGAGCCATCTCAAAGCAGCGTAACTGCCCGACGGTTACTTGAGATGTGTTTAGTATAAATATTAGTAGTTCACGTAGTTTTTCGCGTGTGTTCACAATTATATACAAGTCACTCATATAGATTCGAGTACCCAGTGTGAGCGAAAGAATTGTTGAGAATGTATGTGTGAAACACCACTTTAATTAATCAAAGTCATTTATTTTCCAGAATTTTACTGCCTCTTCATTTACTTTTCCAGTCGAAACCTTTATTTAAAGCTTTTCTTCATTCTATCAAGTTTTCTTCTTCATGCAATTTACATAAAGCGTCTTTATTTTCTTGTCATTTAACCATCATTAAACTTAGTCAAAACCCCAAAATCAACCATGTCTTAGGATCAATCTGATCGATCCTGCGAGTCACCAAATAAGTAACCTTTTGGAAGATCAGCGATTGTTTACCAATTCCCACGGTAAACACTCACCCACATACTACTATGTGACAATCTTAGTGTTGTTTTGTTATCACACAATCCAATTTTACATTCTAGAACTAAACATATCAAAATTGACATACATTTTGCTAGTTAGAGAACTGTAGCAAGCAAGCTACAAATGCAACATGTTTCAAACCATACTCAAATCACAGACATGCTTACTAAGCCACTTGCTATCGACTTGTTCACTAATTCTATATCTAAACTCAAAGTTATTGCACTCTAGTCTCTATGAGTTTGTGAATGAGTATTAGAAAAGTTTCAACCAAAGTTAGTTACGTTAACTTTGGAAAGGTTATTAGGAAGTTAAAAGAGTTAGTTAGAAAGTTCTAAGCATGTAATTAATTACTCAAATTAACTAGTATATATGAAAAGATTTGCTCTCCCTCTTTCAATATAACGAATGTAGAATCAATGCAAGAAGGTTTTACTAGAACACTCTTTTTTTAATTGTTAAGTACTATAAGTAGTAGTCAAAGAGAGTTTCATAAGACGAGAACACAAAACTTGATCCATAGAATCATGAAGACAAGATCAACCATTATTTGTGAAGGTAATGTTGTTCCATTTAATGAGGATCATAAGCTCCTCCGTAAATTTGAGCTCATAAACAAACAAATATCTCCTTTAAGTGTAAGTTCATCCATTTGTATGTTCTCCCTCAAACTTTAACCCTTTTATCCCCATACACTTATATCTTCGTTTACTATTACCATGTCACATGCACTTCAACGGGACACGATGCATGGACACTATCTTGTTATCAAAAAAACATTCAATAAAAGGAGTTGATCCCCTAATTAAACATTGGACTCTGATATCACTAATGAGTTACGACAGAAACAACCAAACAAATAAGAGATACACTATATATTCACCAAAAATCTTATAAATTTGTAAGTATGTAATTCTCTCCTTAATAAAATGTTCCACCTAGTTCTAACTTATATTTAACACTATAAACACCCCTACAATGATTGGTGAAATCTCAATTTTCATCCACATCTATTAAAAAAATAGTTTTAATTAACAATTAAAAAAATTAATTAAATTGCATTCAAAAAAAGGTTTTTATTGTACATGAGTTTAATAATAGCATTAAGTGATAAAATATAGTTTTACAATAGATCATTTAATATACATGCATGCAAATGTATAACCTAAATAAATAACAAATGAAAATCAAAACATAAAAGATTCATTTGACTTGTAGTGTAACACACAAAATTTCGACAAATGTATCATAGCTAGTGCAATTATACCTAACTTTAACTATAGTTTAATCAAGTGTTTATATAGCAAATAACAATAGTATGGTGCCCCTTAGCATCATGAGATTGAGATGTAATGGCCGGAGAAAAATCTATATCAATCAAACAACTCTTTACCAAAGTAATTGCTCTTCAATCTATAATTAACTCTCTCTCATTTACATTCTTACATTACAAAAATTATGACGGACAAGAACCTTATCCACCCTCAAGCCAACGGCGGTGCAGCCGGGGTTAAGCCATCATTCCCGGCGACAAAAGCTCAACTCTACGGCGCCACCCGCCCAACCTACCGTCCTCAAACCCACCGCCGCCCTCGTAGCAACCGTAATTGGTGTTGCACCATTTGTTGCTGGCTTATCCTCATCCTCATCTTCATCCTCCTCCTCCTCGGCGCGGCTGGCACCGTCGTTTACCTCCTCTACCACCCCCAACGTCCTTCTTTTTCCGTCACCTCTCTCAAACTCACCTCTTCTATGTTTGACCTCACTCTTTCCACCACAAATCCAAACGACAAAATCACATTTTCTTACCAACCCATCTCTGTTTCTCTCCTCGCCAATGAACTCGACGTTGGTGACGGCGTTATTCCGTCGTTTGAACATGGAACGAAGAACACTACGATGCTGAAAGCTTTGGTTGAGAGAAGAAGTGTAAAGAGGAAATCATTGGAGCTGAAAATGAAGATGGAGACTAAGGTAGAGGCTAAGATGTGGGTTTTTAAAACGCCACGTGTGGGAATCAATGTGTTGTGTGACGGCATTGATGTTGCCGGAGAGAAAGCGGCGACGGCGGAAGAGAAGTGTGCGGTGGATGTGAGGTTCAAGGTATGGAAATGGACTCTTGGATGATCATTACAACTTACAAGCAAATTCATTTCATATTCGAGACACGTATGTGTGATGTTTGATTTCATAATGTTTTTGTCTTTATTTCTCTTTTTCAAATGAACTCTTATTATTACAATATTTATCAATATTAGTAATAATTAATTGTCCTTTTCTATATTGGTTTTTTGTAATTGTGATATTCATTTCGTCTATTTTATATCTAAATATGGTTTTGGTTAGTGAGTTTTGATTATGATCAAACTCCAAATTATCAAAATATTTTTCTCGTAGAAAATCAAATTTAAAACTAAAATAATATCATATATTCGTGTTTGTTGATTAAGTGAAAAGCTGTAGCTTGTTGATTAAGTGATAAACTCTAGTAGATTTGACTTTGGATATAAATAATAAATACTTTTACCTTTTTAATTAAGTCAAAAATAAATATTTACTTTATGTAATTTGAATAAGATCAACTTTTGAGAAGCATGCATTACATTAAATAGTGAAGATAAAATATTGAGATTATGAGTAGTCACAATTGTGAAAAGTAATAGAGAATTTGACTGCGGTTTCAACGGCGTCAGAGCCACAGAGAAGTGATATAGCGATTAGGGATGTGTGGCAGTGTCGGAGTTGCGACGATGGTGAAAGAGATGGTCTATGGCAATTGAATTATGAATGACAACGAAAAAGGAGTTTCAACGACCGTGTGGCAGTAGTAGCAAGCAGTAGCGACAAGTCATATATTTTAGACCAACACTACTATAAAATTTGGATATAGAGACGGGATAAATCTGTCTATAAAACATTAAAAATCCGTTCTCTGAAAATTGGAGACAAATTTTGAGACGGATCGACATATGTTATTGAAGAATTCGTCTTAAACTGTTCAGAGATGGAAATGTTGTTCCGTATCTAATCAGAAATAGATATATGTCGTCTCAGACAATCTAGTTCTGTCTCGACCATCTGAAATGAAAAATTTATAAATTCATCTCTATATAGATATAACCGTATCTAAATCTTATTATTCCGTCTCTAACATTCCATCTCAAACACATAAAAATCCGTCTATGTATAAACAAAATTTTACCTTTTTCCGTCTAGAATTCTGTCTATATTAAAATTATTTATTGTTTTTTACTTGAAGAAATACATTAAAACTTTTTGATTAAATTTTAATATCCTGAACTAAAAAATATCAAATTCATAAAATATTACCTAAAAAGTACACTTGCTTACAAATCTTTAAGTAAATCGTTCCATGATATTAAATATTAACATGTCCAAAATATAAAAGACCATATATTTGGTCTAACAAAAACTAAACCAAGTAATAAAACTAAAATCAAAGTAACAAAAATTAAAGTTTTCCATCACTCATCTCAACATTTTCATTATCTACTTCCCCTTCTGGTTGAAGTGGAAAGTTTTGATTAGGATTAGGCATAAAACTTCCAAACATTCGCTCCCAATGCTCTATCTTTTGTTTTATCATTTCTTGTTCAAGATTCTTCTTCTCAAGCTCAGCAGTTAATGCTTCAATCTTAACCTCAATAGCAACAACTTTATCTGACGACACATCAATAGATATAAAAGAAGATGATTTTAAAAATTCTTTGATAGTAGCAGCTTGAGATCCTAATCTAAATATGCTTCCTTTCTTATTAATGCCTCCAACAATTTCCTTTCTTATAAAAATAAATAGACATTATAAGAATTACTAACCATTTTTTTGACATGTTCTCTAGCAGATATAGATCCTCCACTATGCACATTGTGTCCAACTTTAGATTTCCTGTTTTGTTTATTAATCATGGAAATTTTTTGCCACTTTTCATATTGCCATTGAGCTTTTAATTTCTTTAGATCATCTTCATCAATCCAAGCACCTTCATCCTCTGTTATTAAAGCTCTTCTTAGCTTCATCTTTTTTAAGCCACTTGTATTGGGGGATTCTCGGTGAAAATTAATAGAGGAAAAAGTTGGAGCGATTCAATTGCTGAATATTTTATTAGAATAATTTTCACAAGACATTTTGCTTGGCCGAGTTGGGGAGTATGTACAGTATATTTCTATAACGTTTTGGGTTCGATTCTCTTGAAGGACATTTTGATTTATTTTTTTTGTTTTAAAATACTTTTTTTTAGAATCGTTAACGATTTTGATTAAGTAATATTAATTGTGAAAATTTTATAAGAATAACTATTTACCTAAAATATTAATTGTGAATTATTTTGATTAAGTAATATTAATTACTCCTGTAAAAAAAGTAATATTTATTGTGAAAAGTTTATAAGAGTAACTATTTACCTAAAATATTTATAAGAATGAATATTTTATAGATTGTTAATGACTATTTATTTTATAGATATTTAATGATTTTAATTAAGTAAATATTAATTGTTAATGATTTATAAGAATGAATATTTTATATATCGTTATGATTTGGATTATGTAATATTAATTGTGAATTATTTATAATTTATAAGTAATTTCTCACTTATATTTTACTTTTATAATTTTAAATAAAATAAATTTTATAATATTTTTAAAAATTTTAAATTTTCACCACACATGGGTAAAAATATATTTCTTAATCATATATTTTATTCAATGACCGTAACTTTAAACTGAAATAAATTTATCATAAAACACAATCATAAAAGTTTATAACATAAAAATAAAAATAAAAACACTTTAAAGAGCAATTAAATTGTGTTAAAGTAATTAATTCCAAAAAAAGTCAAACAAATTCAAAATTTTAGGAAATATATTTAACTCCTTATTTATTTATTTAATTTAACCATTATTTTAATTTTAAAGACTTACTGAATCACACTTAAAATAAAAAATCTGTTGGTTAAAATTCAATTTAAACTTCATAAACAGTATACATGATAAATTTCTAAAAATTTCATTTGTTAGAGACGGATATTTTTGGTCTCTAGATTTTTTTCCAAGTTAGATACGGAACTAGAGACGAATGTTATACTATATTTTTTATTTTTGTCTCTAATGTCCGTCTCTGAATAAATATTAATTAAAATAAAATAAATATAATATTTTAGAGATGGATTTATTGACGAAAATATTTTGAGACGGTCTCATCCATCTCTAAAGTTTGTCTCTAATACAAAAAATATATATTTCGTTATCTATTAGTAAAATTTCATCTTTATTTCTATCTCTATTAGAAGCGGGATGTTTTTCATCTCTAAATTCCGCCAGTATTATAATTTTTTCTAATTGTACAAATTGGTTCAGTTTTTGATTCCTTTAGTGATGGGTTGTGTTTGGGTTTATTTTAGATTTGTTGGGTTTTAACTGTTATAAATATGTATTTATGTCACTTTTGTTAATGAATAGAAGAAAACAAAGGGGGGAGACGGTAATCTTAGAATTTGGAAAACATTTGGATGTATCTAAGGAAACTAGTAACATTTCTGTTTCGGGCCGGTCATATCCCTTTTTAATCTGGTCACCTAAAGAAGAAACGTCCTGGATCAGACCAGGTACTCACCAAGCTTCTAGAATATTCTCTTGACTACTTAACCATCAAGGACCTAGAAGCTGGAGATACGTGCCTCCAAGGAATCCAACGATCCTCCGTATTGTACGCCTGAAAGATAACGAGGCAGTTATTCCTCTTTTCTATACATACGGAATAGAGCAATTTTAGGTAACAAGTTTCAAACACAATTTAAATACTCTCTCATCATTCACATACTAACTTAAGCGTATGAGTATTAACCTTGCAGGTACACCCTCGCTCTCCGCCACAACTTTCGCAACTCTTCATATTTCTAATTCTAGAACATAATAGTGGCGTCATTTGTGGGAATTGACTTATGATTCCCGCGTATCCATCAAGAATAACCCATTCTCAAGCTGAAGAAAGTTTCATACGAAAAGCAAGTGAGCATAGACTGTAACTTCTCCAAAGATGTTCAAGAAGACAAATCCATATACATTTCCTCACATATCATCGTCGATCAACACATTTTGAAGTGTCACTGCATCCAACACTCTGCTACCATTTGATTGCTTCTTGTTGAACACCAGTTTCAAGTTCCAACAAATCAATCGATCAAGGTTAGGGTTCTTGGATTTGAAAAAAGTCGATGAAATCTCAAACTCCGATCTACCTTTGGTTATCGTGGTCATTATCGTTGATCTAACATTAACAACACTCATAATGGATGACAAAAGCTTTTGTAACGTCCTTTACGAAGACACATTGAAATTGTTAGGTTTTCTTCAGATGGATATGAGTCCATCTGAGGAGAAGATCGACTAGCCTTCAATGATTCAATCACTCATCCATGTGGGATGATAGATCTTACACTATTGGTCATAGAAGGGACAAGGAAAATAATGATGACTCTTCCATTCCTCATAATACTTTGTAAAAGTGACTTCAAAGGCATTCTACAAAGGACATTCTTAGCAAAAATACACACAGTTTCTTCTACAGTCCATCTGAAGGTAGCCTATCACAACGAAAGAGGAGCACCAGTAACTATAAATGCTAACTTAGAAGAATCAAAGAGAGTCAGGAGAAGAATCCACAAATATTTTTGACCTCGACGTCAAAGAATTGTGATAGGCTCGATCTCAATGCACGCGGGGGTGAAGCCAGACCTACCTTAGACGGAGAATTTGAATTCGTGCAACTAGGAGACAATCCAGCTAGGTCATCCAAGATCGAGTATGGAATTTCTCTCGAGTTAAGGTCCATGCTAGTCGAATGTCTCCGAGAAAACGTCAACCTCTTTGTTATTTCTCTGCAAAAAATGTCTGATATTGATCCACAAGTGGCTTGTCATTATTTGAACCTGAACGTCAGATCCATGTATATATCATAGCGACGGAGAAATAATCCCATGAAAAGGCCAAGGCTAATGAGAAAACACTGAGAGGTCTATTAGATGCCAAGTTTATTTCAGTAGTGAAGCATACTGAATGATTAAAAATAACCAGACCTTTTTAAATCATTTACTTGATAATTTCATCTAACCACTACAATTGAATCTATATTATAACAATGAGGTTACAAAACAATTAGGCCAAATTCCTTGGTGTGCAACTCTCTTCTTCAATCAAAACCCCCTAATGTCTTAGTTGAATTAGTAATTGAAGTTTTTATTACACTCTACTTCCTAATATTACAAGTCAAATATCACTTTATGTCTAGAACAGTTAGATACCAAATAATAAATTTATATAGATCTATGAAAGTTATGGATAGTAATCATTCATAACATGCAATCAATTAAAAACACCAGTCAATTTAAAAAAGTATCATTCATGTGATTTTTGGCTTCTTTGAGTTCCTCATTAGTCTTGTTGAACTTCTCTTAAGGGTGCTCTTTAAACTCGTGTACTCCCACCGGATTAAAAGATAAAGTCAACCACAAGTATCTTTTTCTTGTTGGACATGTTTCTCTACCTCCAAATAAACCTTCTGCAATGTTGTTGACTATGCATATCCTCCCTATGGATTCTTATGTCATGCATTTTCTTTTCCATGCGTTCGCTTCAAGGAGTGATTTGAGAGCATGTTGGGAGATGGCTTCTTATTGGAGTATCTCTACTTTGTCCTTTTAAATATCTCCTCATATGGAATTTCTATATCAAAATTTATATATTCATTATTGTGAGTGCACTTGCCCGTTAGATGTTTTGCATGATGTCATAACTAGGATAACTTTAGCATTTCTATATATTAAACGGTATCTTTTAGTCTTTATGTGCACCTTTGCATTAGGATACTTAGAATGCATTTATAACATGTTTGGAAAAATGGTATTATGCATTAAAAAAACAGTTTTTACACGAAAAACAGGTTCATGTACACATACAAGGTATGAGTCAACACGTGTGGGTCAATATTAAAGCATATAGCCTTTGTTTCTATGTGTCGACACATACAACCTTTCAGGTCGGCACATACTGTAAAAATCTCATTTGGGTGTCAACACATACGATGTACAGGTCGACACATAATCTTGAATAGGTCGACGTATGCATCAACATGAGTCGACACATGACTTATATGTGTCGAGACATGTTGTAACCTTTTTGGAAAAATTGCATTCTTTTTCAATTTTTAGGTTTCTCTTTTGCCTCCAACTTGCAAACATATAAATACTTCATACATGCATCATTTCCAACTTGATGAAACTATAAACACATGCAAATATTGCTCTTCATATTCAACATTCCATCTATGCATACACACAAACAAACTACACATAATCATTTTTTGTTTGGGTGCCATCTAGACAAGTGTTGATAATGTCCAATTTAGGTTGGTGTACCGGTAAATTGGGTTGAAAATATTTGGGGGGTTTCATTGGGAAAAACCTTAGGATTTGTCCTCCAAGATCATAGTGTATTGTTGTACCCCAAAATTTGCCCTCCCATTTCCTCAACATTTTCTCATCACAATACCCTTAGAGCTCAAGATCCAGTTAGAGTTTCCTCTGCTCAAGACTCCTCCTTGCACTGTTGACCCAAATTAGGGTTTGTGTTTGCACAAAGATGTTTTGACCTAGAATTCCTAAGATGACTTCCATGCTTCATTTTGGACTCACAAGTTTATCCATACCAAGTTTCAAGCCTTGATTCCAATCTTTGCCCAGTCAACTGGACAGTTGACCTAGAAATCAGCTGTATTGGGGAAAAAGTCAACTGTGGTCAATTGACAGTCAAACCTCATGATTTTTGACACACATCAACATTATGAACTCATTTGAACCATTTGGTCAAGTTTGGATCACAATTCCACAGGAAATTTGATCAGATCACCAAAAGGGCAAAATGGTCATTTTTAGGGTTTTGACTGCACAAAGGCAATTTTTGACTGTTTGACCTAGCCAATGGCAAACCAAGCTCATATATGGACTAAAGGACCCTATGGAATTGTCTTGACATGTTCAATAAATTCAAAAGATCCCAAGTGCACAAGATTGACAGATGAATTTTCTAGTCAATTGATCAATTTTTGACTGTATACTGAAAAGTCAAACTTTGACTTTTTGGTCAAAATCAAGTGTCAAGATTCATTTTTCATCAAAACATGTCAAATTGTGAAACTTGTTCATCAAGAAATCAAAAATCACAAATTAGGGTTTGAAATGAAGAATTTTCATAACTTAGAATTTTTCTAAGTTATGAAAATCCCTAATTTTTTCCTAACTTTGTCCCATTTTTTTTCACCAAGATTCATTTGGATTCAATCAAAAGTCAAAACATGAAAGTTGTAGTCCATGGCAAAATATACAACTTTGATTCACAAAGTTTCCTCAAAAGAAGCTTGTAGCTCGAGTTATGATTTTTGGAACAAGGGTGCAAAACATTCTTAACTTAGAGAAATTTTGACCTATTTTAGGAAGGATTTTTGCCTAACTTCATGGCCACTTTTCACATGCTTCCACTTTGAATTTCAATTTGCATTACAAAGATAGATTGTAGTACACATTCCAACCTTTCCAAAATGTCCAAGAACTCATCAAACAACCTCATGGTTAGGGAGAATCGAATTTGGCAATATGGACAAAACTCACTTTGTTCATGGCCAATGTACATGTCCATAACCTTGCATTTTTGAACTCAACATGTTCTAAGATGAATTACAGGTCCTTTATCTCATTCACACTCATAAATTTAATGAAAATCCCTTGTGTTCAAGTCTTACATTATGTGTTTAAGCATTGCATACAAGATTAAGCCTTAATAAGAAAAAGCATATTATCCATTTTTGTAAAGTGTTACTTTATGTCAACTTTGCAATCTATGAGGTACAATGCAGATCTTTGAGGCACAAAGGCATAGGCATATCCCACTAATCAAGACTCAATTGTGCAGCATAGATAGAGGCCTGTATAAGTCTAGAGAACCAAGTTAATTTTTCTTGCTTAAGTGTGAAGTAACTTGGCATAACCAACACCAACTCTCATTTCAGCAAGGACAAGCTTAAGCAAAGTTGTTGTACACCTTCCAAATAACATAACTGAGCTGAAACACGAGCCTATCACCTTCCATATCTCTCCATTCACAGAAACACCATAAAACTGCAAAAAACAGGGCATAAGCTGCAGTTTGAATCCCATAGCTCAATCCACTCGTGCATTTTCATCCAAACCAGTTCAAACACATTCCCTACCATCCATACAAACTGTCCCAAGCCTTGGAAGTAGACTGTAACACCTCTAACCAACTTCACCATTTTCACATTTTCTATTTTGCAGGTGGATTGCTATAGCTTGATTCACTTGGTTTCAAAGCAAACTAAAGGTTGGAATAGCATCTCTGAACTTCAAGCAACTGTACCAATCCTCATTTTGCCTTGAAGGTGCCTCCATTGTTAGACACGATCCAAGCTGAACAGGTAAGTTCATGAACTTCTATCTCTCAATATAGGAAGAGTTAGCTCTAAGTTTGTGAATGAAAAAGGTTCTACTCATGTCCCTGAAGCCATACATATCTTTACTTTCCATTTATATTTCATATGCTGAGAGTATTTTGAACCTGAACATTGACAAAAACTTAGGTTAAGAATTAGGGATGTAGAAATTCTCTCTCATTTCTGAGAGTTAGGTTAAGTTTTTTATATGTCTGGAATCGTGACTTGATGCTTAACATTTTTCATGTTGTGAGTTTGTGCTAAAAGTCCAAGGATCTTGAGATAGCAGAGGCACGCGTTTTGTTCAAAGAAGCTGAAGGTTGAAGAAGACAGAGTCTTGGGCTGGGCCTGAGATTTGTTTTTTCTTTTCACACCAATATTTCACATTTGCACCTCCTTGGCCCATTGCATTTTATTTTCATTATTTTTGACTTTTGATTTTTGTTTCTGACTTATTTATTGTTGACAAAGCATAAAAAATATTAAAATTATTTTTCCCATATTTTTTGCATTTATTTTGATATTTATTTGGCTTTATTTAGTTTTGTAAATAAATAAATAAGTATACTTTTATTTTAAAATATAAAAAAATAATACAAACATATTTTATTTTTGATTTTTTATTTTTATGTTATCTCTTGAAAACATTTTATAATAAATATATTTTTTTTATAATATTAAATATTTTATTTTTGTACATATAATATATATATAATAAATAATGTAAAATACTTATATATTTATTAGTATATTTAGG